TTGGTTGTACAATAGATGGGATTTAAACAATGTCAATTAGATCACAAATCATATTCTATTTGTGAAGAAAGATGAAGAGAAAATTACAGCTCAAATAGTATATGTTGATGACATAGTAGTTACAAGGGATTGGAAAATTGAAATGCAGAAGTTGAAGGAATACCTAGCCACTCAGTTCGAGGTGAAAGATCCAGGTCCCTAACGTTATTTCCTTGGGGTTGAAGTTGCCCACTCAAAAAGGGGCATCTTTTTTCTCAAAGGAAACATGTCCTAGATCTATTAGAAAACATAGACAAGTTGGGAGTGAAACCAAGTGATTCACCAATTGATCCTAACCACTGATTGGGTGATAGTCAGAGGAAAGCTATAAAAGATGTGAAGAAGTTCCAAAGACTGGTAGGAAGACTTTTACATTTATCCATGACCAGACTTGACATTGTGTATGCTATGGGTGCCCTCAGTCAGTTCATGCACAATGCCAAGACTACACGCTTTGAAGTCGTAGAGAGGATTCTTAGGTACCTCAAGAAGTTCCTAGGTGCTGGTTTGTTATTCTAGAAGCATGGGCATTTAAAGGTTGAAGCACATAGGGATGCTAACTGAGTAGGGGCAGTTGATGACAAAAAGTCCACCAATGGATATTGTACCTTTGTGGGAGGAAACTTGGTCACCTAGAAGTAAAAGACAAAGTGTGGTGGCCAGGTCCTGTGCTGAAGCAGAACACAAAGCTATGTCCCATGGAGTTGCTGAAATCATGTGGACAAAGCCTGTTAGGTGAATTGGGTTTTGCAGTCAGTAGTCCTATGTCACTATATTGTGACAACAAAGCTACCATCAACATTGCAACAAACCCAGTCCTCCATGATAGGACAAAATATATTGAAATGGACAAGCATTTTATTAGGGAGAAGCTCGTTGGTAGAGAAGTGTGCACTCCTTATGTTAGCTCAGAATAACAACTTGCAAATATCTTCACCAAAGGTCTCTACCACTTGCGGCATAATGATCTGTGTGACAAATTAAGCATGATTGACATCCATGTCCCAACTTGAGGGGGAGTGTTAGAATAATTGTTTATGTAGTGTAGATGTCGCAAGGGCATATAGGTCTTTTTGCCCTTTTTAAGTTTGCCCCATATATATCAATAAAATCTGGTGCCGCTAGAGATCATTTTGAACTCCCAACTCTCTTCTCTTCTCTCATCTTTCTTCTCTTTTCTTCCTTTCTTTAGCTAGTAACTCCATACAGCAAACTTGCAAGAGAACTCCAAAGAAATCTCCATTCATTCATTCATTCATTAACTTCAAAAGGAAGAGAATACATGCTAGAGGAACAGGATGCTATAGCCCGAACCCACATGGGACTGGTCAAAAGGACGAAAATACCCCTACTGTCCAAAAGTATAGAAATACATAAAATTTCAAAAAAAAATCCAATTTTGATTCTTCAGCTCCTGCATTACATTGACTTCTTAGAAAATGATTGGGTATCATCTCCAAGCTTCATTACTCTAAATCTTAAAATTCCCATATATAAGAATAAAAATCCACCATGGCCCAATGTAATATTATTTATAGATTTTAGAGCATCAAATATCAAGATTATTACTAATTAACTTTATATATCATTCAGTGGAATTTGGTCATGCCATATGGATGATAAATTTCAGAGCTAATTAATGAGATATACCCTTACCTTATGGTTTCCAAGACCACTTACATATATCTTATTGGGTGGCTCCACTTGACACAAATAGGCCTTCTGTTACTGAAACATTTAGGACTGTTCAAATTATTACTATAATCCTGGTTTTGCCCTGGTTCAAATGCTCGTCTGCTTTAAACTAAGAAACCCAAACCCTTCTTTTTGATAATTAACAGAATATGTTTCACTGAAAACTACCATACTGCACACAAAAACAGGCAGCAGGTTGAAAAGTACAACGCTGGTTTTCCCAGTAGGAGACTTACAACAAGTAAAAGGAAAAGCAAAAGCTACCATGTATTACAAGCCGGTCTTGGGCATCCCCAATCTAAACAATCCTCTATAGCCAAAGAATCATAAAGCATATTAGCACTCTCGGCACCCACTTGAATGAGATATTCAAGGCAGCACCTAGAGATTAAGCCAGTCTAACGAATATTTTGTGTTTCCATGGGATTTGATCTTCAATTATCAACCATCTTAACACCATTTGACAGTCACCCTCTATTTCCACATTGTTCATTTCCTAAAAGACCAACAGCTTTAATCCTTGAACTAAAGCCAGAAGTTCAGCCCTTAACGAGTTACCTTGACCCATTGGACCTAATAACTTGGAATTATATTGCTACAATGATCTCTAACAACTCCCACACCAGAAGCCCCGGGGTCTCCAAGACAGCAACCATCAAAATTATGTTTGAACACCTCTACAGCAGGAGGGGACCATTCAACCATCCTTTGTTGTCTTATAATCTGAAACCCCACAACAATCTTCCACTCCCTAAGAAAATCATTAATAGATACACCTCTGAATTCCCCACATATCACAGCCCAACGAGCAACTTCTTTTTGTTTGTGCTATTTTACTTTTGTCCCTCTTCCTCATTACTGAAAGAGGTTGGGGATAGCAGAGAAAGATTTCTTTAGTTTCTATTGATATTCTGTAAGAAGTTCAACCAGTCTGCAAATGTACACAGAAAAAAATAAGCAACTATAAGTTCTTGGTGATTCTCAATATCCCTTTATAAACAAAAGAAAACAGCATGAAAGAACTATAGTTTTTATAACTTGTAGATCAGGAACTTGTGGATGCAAGGAATCACACCCTCAACCAGCTATAGTTCCTTTGGTATAAAGTTCTTTGTCCCCTCCGATTGCAAGCTGCAGATGCCTTGTTATACCTTTAACCTTTTGATCCTTGCTGGTATGGCCTGCCAGTTCCAAAGACTTCTGAGTAAGATAATCCAAGATCGCTGCACAGTACGCAGCAGCAGTCACCTCCACTCTTCCATTGTCTGCAATCCTGGACTTTAGGAGATGGTGGGTATGACCAACAGGAAACTGCTAGCTTGCTCAAAAGGAACAAGACAGGTTTGCTCTTGTCTTTGTCTTTGGTCACATCCAGAGATGAGAATTTCCCAGTAATCAGTCCTTTTTGCCTTTTCCCAACATCTTTACTGCCGAAAAGGGGTTCCCAATTCCTGACAATTTGCGACAGAAAGCTACTCTCAGAAGCAACTGCAGAGTGGGAAAACTTTTCACTGTGCAACAGTTCCAGGCATCTTTCATCTTTCCTTTTTCTTTTCTTTTTCATTTTCTCTTCTTCCTCTGCTTAATCTCTTTCTTCCATACTGTCGGCAACTGAACCAGTCTGGCCAACCTCCCCTGTTCTTCCCTCACCCACCCAGCAGTGTTTTAAAAGCACAAGGCGCAAAAAAGGAACAAGGGCCAATTTGTGCCCGAGGTGCAAGGCGAGGCACATGCCTTCTCGAAGCAAGCCGCAAAAATACAAAAAATGTCAAACATAATATTAATAAGAAATATAAACTTAAATTTTAAAATTAAAAAACCTATTATCTAAAATTAAAATACATAAACATAACATGTATAGCGTATTCAAATGAGAATATAAAAATAAAATCAAGCATATAAAACATTTTCAAGCATGTAAAGCCCACAACCTCTTTTTTTCCTTAATTGCATTACTTCAAGTAGCTAATGTGATGTAAAACATATTAGATTCCTGATTCTACAAGTCGCCTTTGTACCACACCCATCGAGGCAAGCCCAAACAAGTCCATGTTAGGGTCTTAAATTCTTAATTCCCACACAAAAAAATAATGATTTTATAATTTTAATTGCCTTTTAAGAAGATATTTTATTAATGAATGAATGGACAACATTAGCAAATAGGGGGTTCTTGAAGCTTCAATGAGCGAGTGAAGAATCCCTTATTTGCTAATGTTGTTCATTCATTCATCTTAGAAAAATATCTTCGTAAAAGGCAATTAAAATTATAAAATCATTATTTTTTGTGAGAGAATTAAGAATTTAAGACCCTAACATGGACTTGTTTGGGCTTGCCTCAAGGGGAGTGGTCGGGCACCCCCGGCCCAGCCGCTAGGTTCAAAAAAAGCAAAAAAGCGTACAATTTTCAAAAGGCGCATGCCTGGGCCAAGGTGCAAGGCGCATTAGGCGTGCACTAGGCATGTGCCTTTTGAAAGTGATGCACCTAGAACCTGGACGAGGTACCTATCCTAAAATGCACTTCACATGTGTGCCTAGCCGTGCCTTTTAAATCACTGATCCTGGCATTGTTTCAGTAAACATCTTACTTTGACATGAAGGGCATTTTCACTTTTTAAAATTTTCTGTCAATCTTAACAATAAAATGTTTTAACAATGTATATTTAAATAGTTTTACAAGCATCATGATAAATTTAAGTAATTTAATGAAACTAAAGGGTATAAAAGTAATTACCCTAAATTTTATTTATTATTATTTTTTAGATTCTTATGTTGGGAGAGGGTCCAACTAAAACTCAACTAAGCCCAAACTGAACCTTTGTGAGACTGGATCTTGATATTAGGGTTGAATTGAACTAATTGAAGCTTAGGCTGCGAAATGTAAGTCTAAACTCAACTTAAGCAGGATACTGGTTGATTCATTGGGTAAGATACTTGAGCAGCATAGATGAACACTAACATTTTGAGGCTTGGATGATGATGATGAGACACATACTAAAATGAATTACAATAGCAATTGGGCTATTGTAGTTGAAAACTCCTCAAGAAAACATGGAAACCTAACCTCATGTATGAAAACCTAACTCAACCAGGATTATGCTACCACCTACTAATGTGTATATATAGCTCACGTTGGTGGCTCAAATTCAGTCTTGGGTTCCATATTCAATTCCCAAGATTAGGCTCAGGTTAGCCTTAAGCCCATCCCAGCCAATTCAGGTTGCACCACTTTGAATGTCGGCAAATAACGGCCAAGATTGATTACATACCTGGAAATTGTTTGCCTCTTGGGTGTGGGCCATGTTGGCTTCAGGCATTGCAGAAGATCTTTGAATTTGGAGTGACAGTGAAGTGAACCCCTGGAGCATTTCTGACTTGTATTCCATCAATTGTGTGCTTATTAATTGCTTCAGCTTCTGTACTTTAGACTCAAGGGCTTGAAGATGTTGCAGTTGTTGCAGTTGGGCCTCAATATTTCTTAACCTTTTTAGAATCTAATGGCAGACACTATTAGCACTTATATATGCTAACCACCATGTACATGAAGGTAATATTTAAAAAAAAAAGTAACATTTAAAGAAATAAAATAATTAATTACTCCATCAATTGTCTCCTGTTCAGGTTCTGGATGAGCCTCAACTTCCATGACTGTGTTTGATGGGGGAATCTCCTCATCCATCATGGCCTATAAGACAATATTAAAAAAAAAAAAAAAAACATAAAAAACAAAAGCTTGATAAGTATAAATATTGAATAAAAACAATCGTAAAATCATTATACCAAGTTATTAAACCCCCATACCAATCAGTACTCTTGTTGCAATGATGCATTTGATAATAACCCCATTGATGATAAGTGACATCAATAATAAAATAAAGAAATTAATGCATGGGTATTAATTATTTTTTGGAAGATTTTGGACCCAAAGTGGCTGAACTGAATGTCTTATTGCTTCATCTTTTGATGAATAAAATAGTCATGTAATAAAATATTTAGGGATACAGTAATCAACCCCAAATTCAATAGAGCCATTAAGGAGCAGCTTACAATCTATTTAGTGACTTATCCACTAAAAGATAGAAATAAGTCATTCAGTTTAGCTGCTTCAGCTGTTATCAACATCCCTATCATGACATTATGTCTTACAGTACTACTAATGTAACCAAGAGAGCATACTTTCCCTACAAGAAAATTGACAAGAAAGAGTAAACAATAGTTTTAGGAATTCAATGAATAACCTGTACCACGTCAGATGAGGCTCCTTGAAATTGGGATCCTTCTTTGGCCCCTTGCACACTCTGAGTAGGCTGGCACTTAAGTAATTCTTCGGTTCTGTCTTGGATTTCAAATTGCTCTTTCTTCCTGCCATCCTGAAAAGAAAATCATAATTAATTACAAGAGTAGCACGTACTGTATGCAAAAATTAAAGGAATTGATAAAACCAAGAACAATGGGAAGGATATTGAACTTGAAAGTTAATTCAATTTTGTTCCTAGCTTGAAGTTTAAGCTGCTACAGTTCACACATTGTGCAACTGCATATTGCAAATGCTTTGGACAAGATGTCATTGATAATTCTGGACTACACAAAGAAATTCCAGGCTTTATATGTACTTTTCTTTGATTTTTAGTAGAATTATAATTATCTGTAATCTGTATATGCTCAGATCCAGTAGATTGTTGTTGTCGCTTCTTCTGAGCATTTTCTGCAAGATCACGCTTGATCAGGTCTGCAACTTCAGGAGGAACATTTGGGCAGTGTTTTGCATTCTTGCCCATCTTTGCCAGGTGTCGCTTTATCCGATGTACCCCGCCATAAGCAACGTATGTTGCTCCACAATAATTACATTTAAGCACACTTTCATGTTTTCCACGATTTCCATATAGCACTGCTGTACAGTGTTTCCAACTAATATCTTCTTTCTCACGAGTCATCTTTTTATTCCTAGAACTTGATTAAGCATGTAGTCCAGCATTTGCCATCCCAGCTATTGAGAAAAATGAAAGTAATGTCGGTGAGAATTTTAATATCAATGAATAGGAAATCAATTAACAGATCAAATTAATGATTTTATCATACTAGAAAGGTACATAGATTAGAATGTATATAATACAAGAAATACAGACATGATCTGACACCATTGTGTCAAAGGCCTAGTGAACAGATAACAAGTACTGAGATGCAAAAAATTCTAGAGGTTTTATTAGGGATGCTGTTGTAAGACCAAACGATGTGGGCTTGGGTCTATTTAGTCCCTGTTATGTTTTATTTCATTTACATGGGTTATATGCGTAGAGATAAAGAGAGTTAACAGAGGGCTATATTTGTAATTTCATGTTTTCTTCTTGTACATTAGATCCACTTTATTCTTTTGTACTCTATTACTTGTACATCAAGGACAGATTGATCCTTTTACTTCAATAATATAAATACTAATTCTGGGGTGCCGACTGACACTTTTGACACACCCACCAAACTGCTGTCTTCTTCTTCACGATCTGGCTCTGACATGGTATTAGAGCAGGTCACAATCTGATCTGCATAAAGACTATCTTTGTTATTCGATTCTTTTGACTTTTAGGGGTCTCCCTAACAGTATTTGGGAAACCCTCTTATGTCCTTGAATCCTTTTCCTAAGGCTGTTCCAGTCATCCCCTGACAGATCTGAAACCTGGACTGTTTTGCTACCAGCTTCACCTTTTTCCTTCAGATCTCCTCTTAGGAATATCAGATCAATCTGAAACTTTAGATCTGGTGTCACCAGAGGAGTACTTGTGAACTCCTTTGGTTTGGTTTGGATTGGATCAGTTTAAGGAGGGTTTTGATCTCTTTCTTGGATTGATTGACTGCTACAGTTTCCTATTTTGGACACTCGGTTGAAAGGTATTTTTGTTTCACTCTTTGATTTGAAGATTACTTTCTTGGGAGTCTATACTGTTATTTCTTTTTTTTTTTACTATCTTCCTTGGAAGTCTATACTGTGATTCCTTTTTTATGGCTTTGGAAAGAATGGATGTTCTTCCTATCAAATTTAATGGGACGAACTATGCTTTGTGGAAGTTCCACTTTCAATTTCATGTTGAAGAAAAGGGACTTTGGGAATATTTGGATGGGTCTACATCTAAACCTAATGATTCAGACATTAAGGCCCTAAACTAAAGGAAGATTGATAACACAAAAATTGCATCATGGATCCTCAGATCAGTTGAAGTTGATATTGCCATTCCTATGAGGGGGTACTGGACTGCATATGAGATGTATCAGTACCTTGAGAAGGTTTATCAACAATCAAACCTCTCTAGACAGTACCAAATAGAAGTTGATATCTTTTCCTATCATCAAGGAGAGAGGAAAATTCAGGAATGCTATGCAGGGTTTATTAACCTCTGGACTGAGTACAAGCTAGTATACATGGGAGAGGATCCTTCAAACTGTTGTGTGAAGTTTATGAAAGCACACTTTGATAAAAGAAAAATTATGCATTTCTTAATGCATCTCAGTCTTGAATTTGAAGTTGTTAGATCTAATATTCTTAGCCAAGGGACACTTCTAGATCTTGATACTATCCTTGGGGAGCTCTTGAGAGAAGAAACCAGGCTGGTTACATAGACTACATTTGATGGAAAGAAGGACCCTAACATAAATGTTGTTTTACTTGTGACAAAGCCTAAGGAGAAGGATTTTTCCCAAGTACAGTTATGAATGCAAAGAGTTTGGACATATCATCTCACATTGTAAAGAACACATGCACTTATTGCAAGCAACAAGGACATATCATTACAGAATGCCCCACTCGACCTCCAAAAAGGGGTAGGTCTAATAAGAAGAAAGGGTCCTATAAGGCTTATCAGACTTCTGTAGAGAGTTCAGATGCCTCATTCTCTATTGCTTCATTGGCTTCACAGAATGATACCTCCAGTGGAATGTCAAAAGAGAAGATTCGACAACTCATGTCCTTGGCTATCTCTTCCGCCTTTTTTGCTATTGGTCTATTTGGTAAGTCTCTTACCTTCTGCCCTTCATCAAATCATCTTTGCATCATTGATTCAAGTGCATCTAACCACATGATAGGGCCCTCCTTTGGTCACCCTCATAAACTCCATTTCCCTAATAGACACATGTTATTTCAAATGGTGAAAAGTCATGTATACTTGGTTGTGATGATTTACACTTATCTACTTCTAAGTCCTCTTACTCTCACCTACCCAAGACCTTATTTGTACCTAGATTGACTGCTAATCTAATTTTTGTTGGCCAACTTGTGGAAGATGGTAATATTGCCTTTTTTTTATGAGTAATACTGCCTTGTTTTCCTTTGATGGTAGTTTGATATAGGACTGGCAAACTGGGGAGGTAAAGGGGAAGGGGCTTAGACTGGGTTGGCTATTTGCTCTAGAGTTCGAGAAGAAGGCTGATTCTACATCTACTTCATGTTTATTTTCTACTACTTCTAGTTTTGAATCCTTTAATTGTAATAATGACCGGCACTTAATTATTAAAAAATAATGACTAGCACTTGTGGCATAGACACCGTGGTCACCCATTTTCTAAGAAACTTGATTATTTGTTTACTTCTGGTAGTTTACCAACTTCTACTGCTTCTTTTAAGAATATTAATAAAGCATGCCTTACTTGTTGTTTATGCAGGAGCCATATTTTACCTTTTCCTTCTCATTCTGAACATGCTACAGTTCCATTTCATTTAATACATAGTGATGTGTGGTTGTCTCCAGCTATTTCTAGATTGAGGTACAAGTATTTTGTGACTTCCATTGATGATTGCACCTATTTTCCTTGGATTTATTTTCTTTGCAAGAAATCTGAGGTATACTCTACATTCAAACTATTTCAGGCACATGTTACTACTCAGTTTAAAGCCAAAATATGTATCCTACAGTCAGATTCAAGGAGAGAGTATTTTGATGAGGGTTTTCAAGCTTACTTGAAACAACAAGGCATCCTATCCCAAAAATCCTGTCTTGGTACTCCACAACAAAATGGAGTAGCAAGAAGAAAGAATAGAGACATTTTGATTGTAGTCAAAACCCTCCAAAGGATTCCCATGTATCCCTCTTCCATCATCTATCATAGACAACTCCTCTCCTTTCCAGTCTCTCTTTCACCGTCCTTTAGACTTCTCCATGATTCAAGTATTGATTGTGTATGTTTTGTTCAACTTCCGCCCCAAGAATGCACTAAGCTAACAGCACAAGTAGCTTTGTGTGCTTTTGTGGGCTATAGTCCTACCCACAAGGGATTTCTTTGCTATGATCCCATGGCTCGTCACATTTGAATTTCTCGCAATGTTATTTTTCTTAAGAATGTATCTTTCTTTGAGCATATTGTTAAATTCCCTGCTCCCTCTACTTCTTTGCTACACAGTTTTGACTCTACAAATTCTTTAGGAGCACCTACATCACCTTAGCAGCAATTTCAAACTTAATTCAGGAAGCAACAGCCTATGGAAGCAATGGTCATGTAAGTTCATCTGTTCCTCCATCTGAATTCGTTGCACCCACATTACGTCGTTCTTTAAGAATTTCTCGACCTCCTAATTGCTATAGTTTTTTCTCTAGACCATAGCTCTTTTTTTGCTATTTTGTCAACCACATGATGGAGATCACTTTGAGACTGAAGCACCACATAGAATTCATACTTATTTTAGGTATAGATAGCATTAGCTTAGGGTTATTTTGATTAATACACAATTTGGGTTTAATTGTAAAATTTCTTCTTAGTAATGGGGCTATTTAAAATTTTCATCGGGGGGTAAGTGAAACTTTCTTATTTGGTAGGGACTTAATTGTAATTTTTAGTTCTAGGTTTTTTATAAACGCACATTATGTTAGGGTTGTATGACATTATGTTTTTGAGAAATAGAAGTCTTTCATATCCATTTTCAAACTTCCTCTCTTCCTTCTGTCTTCTAATTTCTTGTAACAGGTGGTGGTTTTGCATCAGTTTGGTATCAGAGTTCAGTTCCATGTTCCTTCTGCTCACATCTGAACCAAAGCATCTCAGCCACCTTCCTCTTCCTCTACTTCCACTGACTGAATAGGAGAGGTCAGTGGTTTCCATCTTCTCTATATTTCCTTCTTCTTCTTACCATTCTCTCTCTTCTAGTCTCTTTCCTTCTGTAGGTGTTCAAGACCGCTATCAGTCTTGATCACTAAAAAGTTTCAGATTCGATGAGAAGAGAAAGTGAAGTAGAAAAAAGAGTGGTGAGAGAGCAGTAGAACACAGATTTTGAGGAGAACAGAATGTCAATATTCTGCCGCCGCCACTTTAATTTAATATATATATGTTATGCTAGTTACATGAAAGGACATATCTGCCCTTGGTGTTTACATCATAACTGCTAACACATAACAAAGAATATAAAAGTGAAAAATAAATAGCAACTAGGGATAACAGAATAACAAATTGACCACAGCTGTGACTAGATACATTCTACCCTACGGACAGAGTGGGACCACAGCTGTGGGGCCCACATCAATGTTCTCTACACCTTCTTCTTTGCTTCAACAGTTCAACCTTCTTTCTTTCTCCTTCCTTTCCTCCCCCAACATTGTTTTCTGCAACCGAATTGCACACAACAGTCACCGTTTCTTTCTCTCCCTCTCAATCTCTTTTCTTTCCTTCTTTCTTTCCTTTCTTTATTTCCAAATTCTGTTATTGATCTCTCTCTCTCAATCTCTTTTCTTTCTTTCTTCCTTTTCCTTATTTCCAAATTCTGTTTTCAATAACAGAACCTTAACGATAGTGATCTCACCCATTCTCTTCTCCCTATCTTGTTGTCTACATTCTTGTTCTTGTTCTTGTTGCCTCTTCTTCTAGTCTTTTTGTTCTTGTTCTTATAGCCTCTTCTTCCAGTCTTTCTTTTCGTGTTCTTGTTGTCTCTTCTTCCAGTCTTACTCTTCTTGTTCTTGTTCTTGTTGCCTCTTCTTCTAGTCTTTTTGTTCTTGTTCTTATAGCCTCTTCTTCCAG